CTTCCTTTTGGGAATTATGTTTAAAGCTATAAATTTTTCCCCAAGCACTGCTTTAGCTGCATTCCGTAAATTCTGATATGCCATATTTTTTAATCAGTTCAAAATATTTTCTAATTTCCCTTGTTATATCTTCTTCAACTCATGAGTAATTTAGAAGTGTGTAATTTAATCTCCAAGTATGTGAGGATTTCCCAGATTTCCTTTTGTTGTTTATTTCTAATTTATTATTGTTGAGGTCAAAGAACATACTTTAAATTTTAATCCTTTTAAATTTGAGACTTGTCTTGTGGCCAGGCATATGGTCTACCCTGGATAATGTTCCATGAGTGCCTATAGTCATTGGGTGCGGTGATTTAAATCACCACTCAAGTCTCAGACTCACCCCTGAGTGGCACAAGCACAAACAGACCCAAAGCAGCATAGCAAAGGCTTTGAAACTTAACTAAAACTGGAATCCACCCACAGAAGATGAGACAAGGCTTTCTCTCTGAAACGAATTGGGTTGATAGTCTACTAAAGCAAAAAACTCAACAGTATCTAGAGAATTCTAACGGGACTGAGAGCTTACAAAACATTCAGTATATATTCTTTTGTGTTCACATTCTTTCATTTAACAGGATTTTGAGATGCATCCATGTTGTGGGTGCCAATAGTTCGTTCATTCTTTTTCATTGCTGAGTGGTATTCCATCGTATAAACCACATTTTGTTAATCCTTTCACCTTTTAAGGAACATTTTAATTGTACAAGTTTTGAACTTTTATGAACAAACCTGCTGTCAATATTTGTGCACAAGTCTTTGTCTGGACATGTCTTTATTTCTCTTGATTAAATACAAAGGAATTGAAGACTGACTTACGGTCATTGTTTTAATGTATTAGTGTTTTAAAAAAATTGGCAGCTTTCCAAGGTGGCTATACTATTTTTCATACCCACCAGCAGAGCATAAAAGAGTTCCAACTGCACCACATCTTTGCCAACACTTGGTATTGTCAATCTATCTTTATCATTTTAACCATTCTAGTGAACATTTATGGCATCTCATTTTGGATTTTAATTTGCATTTGCCTGATAAATGATGATAATGTTGAGCATCTTTTCATGTGCTCATTAGTCATTTGTGTATCTTATGTGAAGTGCCCAATAAAGTCTTTTGCCTATTTTTAATGGGGATGTTTGTCTTATTATTGAGCTGTAAGATTTATTTCTATTTTAGATACAAGTTCTTTGAAATATATGTATTATGAATCTTTTCTTTTCTCCCATTCTCTGGCTCGACTTATTTCCTTTTGTTATTTTTTAAATGTGTCTTTCAAAGACCAAAACTTTTTAATTTTGATGAAGCCCAATGTAGCAATTTTAATTGAAATTTAATTTCTAGTTTTACTGCATTATGGTGAAAAATATGTATTCTCTAACATGGTAAGTTTTAGAAATACATTTAGAGTCCCTATGGTCTACTGAGTTTCATAACTGTTTTAAGAGAATGTTGTCTCTAAATGATAGAAAGTAGAAATATAGCTATTATATGAAGTTTTATTTAGACTTCCTGTTTGGTTTTTGCCTCTCTGATCCATCAAAGGTGAAGAAAAATATATTAAAGCCTCCCATGGCTATCTATGTCAGTCTCTCCATGTATTCCTAATATCTTTTTTATCTTTGGATTGAGTACCCTTGCCTTTAGCATGCAAAAATGTATACCATTGTCCAGTTTAGTGACTTGTATTGATTCTCATTTGTATGGTAGTGTTACATTCCTACTTTCTGTTGTCTGAATATGTGACATATTTCCATCATCTTTTAAATGTAATTTTTGTGTAACATTATTTGTATCT